ACAAAGCAAAATAAGATAAATGGGAACAAGAACAGCCAGAATTTGCACACTGGAACATGGCCATTCCTCCTGGCACCACCTGGCCCTCCATGAGTTCAACACAAGGTCTATGAGGCAGTACACCAACTCTCTATAGGCAGAAAAAGAACCTGGGCTGCAAAGATGCACACTTAAACCTCACCGCTCTTTGAAGAGAATTCATTTTGCACAGCAGTGGCTGCACTCGCGTGGCAACATCAAAGACAGGTCATGGTTATGAAGCAGGAAAGGGGCAGGGTCCACCCAAATGTTGACCAACAAGATGTCTGGACAGTCCTGCTCAGCCTAATCCTGCTCTCCCGGCTTCCTTTCCTACTCACTTGGTTGCCCCAAAACTGTACGTGCATGATCCTGAAGAACTGCAGAAGCTAAAAGCCTTCCATCTTTTAATTCCTTCCTGTAATCCTTCTAAAGAAAAAGAGTTGTGCTTTGGAACAACAGTGAAGCTGAGAACCGGAGAGGAGTGGTGGGTGTCAAACTACAGGCACTCATCTTTCACAGAGTTTTGTTAAAAAGGCATGGAATTTCTACTCACATTCGAGATACCATGTATATAAACAACGAATTAGCCTCACAGCTAAAAATACACTAGAGAAACATTCCACCAGTCCATTTTTGGACTGTTCTCTTCTATACTAGTGCCACCTGTCTTCCACTTGAAAATGTTTATACCTTTTTATCCCACTTTCCCACTCTTCTGATGGCTTCTCGTGTCAGGAACTTGCATTCATGACTCAAACATTTTGATGCTGACTGGTTTTTCCTATGTCATAGTAAAGCTGGTTGAAACTAAGCTTTAATTCTAAAGGAAGCTTCAACATCTGTTTTCATTCCGTACTGTGACAAAAGCAAATATATCCTAATTCACCCGAATTTGTTTTATGTTTAAGATTTTGAAGTTCATTTCAGAAACAAACAGGGATTTCTTTTTTGAGTTTATGTAACTTTCTCATTCATATCATGCCAACTATAATTCAAAATGCAAGCAAATAAAGTTTAAAAAAAATTCAGAAGGAATGCGCAATGAAATTGGTTGAGTGAAGTGACATTTCTGCAGCAAGTCTTGCAAATACACCTTTCATTGAATCAATGCTTCACAAAAACTTGCTTTAATCAAAGCAAGTAATAGCAAAATCTGTAGCTGCATCAAAGGAATCAGATCACAACCTGACTCACATGTCCCTGTAATCCTAGAAAGTGCTCGGTCATGAGTGCCCAGGATGAAGGCACTCCAGGGAATCTGGGGAATCCAATTCCAGCACCATTTTTAAAACATACTAGTTGAATTTTATCTTTTGATTATACTTCTCTATTCAATCCTCAAACAGAAAACACACAAGAAAACTTCCTTGTCTGCTACTCTGAACTCCCATGGTGTAATTCTGTTAGGCCCCTCAATCCTCCCAGACTTGCTGCGTTGTGGGTAGCTGGAATCGGGACTGTGAAATGATCCTTAGCTCATTCCTCCCAGCCTAAAAGTCAAAGCAACTTTTCCCCGTCAGAGGGCCAAATCCTCCGGTGGGTATGACAAAAGAATACCTTATTCCCTAAGATTTCAGCCCCTGCAGAAGCTCCTCTTCAGGATCACACTGCTTTGAACTTCTGCCATCAGGAAGCAATCAGCTCAACCCAACTTCCCAGGTTGAGCTGAGGGAGCTGCAAGCAGGATTTTAGGGCTAATTCCAAAGTCTTCAATCCGTACAGCATGGACTCACTTCCTACAGTAAATGTCACACCTTGTATACTGAACACAGAAATACTTTTATACCATGTCCCAAGCCTTGAAAAGTACAAACAGAATAAAGTTCACCTTAGGGACCAATTCTCTTTTTTTCTCTCCCATTCCTTAATATCATCAGCAGAAGCTGATGAAAAGCTTGTTGCACTGTAGTCACATTTACTGTTTATTTGTATTAACAACTGTACGCCTTCTCCCTTGTCCCTCTGCTGAGAGGGGAGCCCTCCCTTTGAGGTTGACATTAACCTTTAATGCTGCCACGAGGAAGGACACTTGTCAATGGAAATGAAGGCAAACAACACATGGAAGTGGTAATTACTTTAACCTAGTTTATCCCAGCCTAAAATATAACAGTGGCTCCTGCATCTAGATGAGCCTGACGCAGACAGATGCTGCTAAAATGCTCTGCCATCTTTTTTCTTGTTGCCATGTTGGTACTATTAAAAAAAAAATCCTATACCCTCAGACTTGGCATTGCTTTGTATTACACAGGATTTTCTCTTTGGTACCATAAAGCTTTTTAGATCTCTACTTGTGCCACTGTTCCTTGTGAAACAAGCCTGTGTCTCTTTAAGAACGAACATCTAGGCATGTGAGATGGAGGAGCCATCTGAGAAGCACAGGCACAAAAAACACCCAGCTTGATTCCTCTTCTGCAATAATCTGCTTTCTGGACTACCTGAGGATAGACACACACCTGTGACTCTCATAACTCAGCCCAGTCTTTAAGGAGAAGCAGAAATCTGATACAGGGCTACCTTGTAATAAAACCAGGCGTACAACTTCCTCCACGCCTGCAATATCCACATCTCACCCCAGGTTTCTAAGAACTGGAGATCAATCAGTGTCAAAAGCAGACGTTTCCTTCGGGGTCCTTTAACATATTTCCTTATGCTCAAAGCGGTGCCGCCTGGTCCGCTAAAGCTGCCAGGACACATCCCGGCCCTTAACCTGTGCTGGAAAAACTCCTGCACTGAGACTCACGCTTTGTATGTCTTTTCTATGGCCTTAGCCATCTCTGAAAATCCATTCCAATATAGATAAGAAGCCATTTTATGGCCAGCACAAGCCTTGGCACTTGGCCAGCGGTGCTCTTCTGAAATGCTCCGGCAAAGCAGCCCCATCAGTTATAAGATCTATGTGTATCAGGTCACTGGGTTACCAAACAGAAGTGTCATAGCATGTAAGGACATGGTCTGGGCTCTGCTGTGAACAAGGATCCAGTTATTTTGGTGGGCTCAGATTACTATCCTGGGATGCATGTCAGTGGGGGAGGATATTGCATTGTAATACTATTCCCAGTGGGAAGGACTAAGCCCAGTATTCAGAGCCATTGAACAACGATAAGTCAGTAAAGACACAAATCCACAGGATGTTACACTGCAGCCAGCACGATGGTGAAGAACTGCATGCTTGGGTGGAAAAATCCACCGTAGGCTGTATACTACATTGTGCTGGACTATAGTAAAAATCACAAGTCACTTTTTCCACAGGAAATGACAGCAGTGCGAAATGAAAACCATGATAATAAGCAATAGGACCTTCCCACGCAGCACTTCCTAGTGACACCTAGGAGCATGCACAGTTGTACAGTGCTTGAGAAGCTTCACTCCATCATGAGCAGCAAGAGTTTGTCCCTTGGACAAGGACCAGGAAAGGGAAAGAAAATGACAGCTGTGATACAGCCAAGAAAAGAAGGGAATAATTCTAGAAAACTAAAGTTTACAGGCGTAAAATATTGTTACATTCTGGTGATTCACAGTAGGCAGCTTGTGTGTTGGGCTTTTTTTAGAAACACTCAGAGAGAACCACAAACTGTAAGGCTAGCAGCACAGCTGTCAACCCCCAGCATTTTATATTGCATATGCATGTGCAGAAAAAATGGCCTGTATCAATTAACATCTCAAATTAAACTTGCAAGGGCACTTAGAAAAGAAACTGCTAGTACTAAATGGGGTTTTCCAACTGCTCTTTCCTAATGGCCAGCTATTGCTGCCTCTAGTAGAGGCTACTCGATGAGTTGAAAATAAAGGAAGGAAAGCAAAGTAACACTAAAGGAAGGAAAGTAACACTGAAAAAAAATGGTGGCACTGCAGGGAAAAAAAAAACTTTAAGAAGGTGGTGAGACAAATACAGGAAGAACATTATACATCTACTGATAAGGTTTCTGAACTGCAGCAAAAGAGAATACAGGGGAATCTATCTCCCTAAATCATCTGCAAATGAAAATGTAACTTTTAGTCATGCCTATATAAGTGCTGAGAATCAAAGCCATTCCAAACAGTCTCCTGATAAGCCAGCACACTGGGGAAGAACAAAAAGGCCATTATTTGGCTGGAAGAATCAGCATGAGCTTCCAGCCTCACTGGTCCCCTTTTTGGTGGCAGCTGTTGCAGCAGGGATCAGTGAGTGTGCTGGAGTGTTGCAGCTGTTCCACGTATGTTATAAATAAGAGCTAGTAACTTCATCCTATATTTAGCATTAGGAAAAAAAGACAGGAAGTCACAGAAATTCCCTATTCACATCTTTTAAGTGGAACTTCTCTCGCATTCTTGACTTCAATACCCAGAACTGAATGGACAAAACAGGCCATTCCTAAAATAACAATAAAAAGAAATTGAAATTTAATGGGATTAGATTACATCAGTCTGGAAGATGTAATCAATTATGTGTACAATTTGTTTGGTTTTAAATGCAAAACTAGCCATTCAACCAGTGTGAAAATAATCTCTATGAGTGTAGCTCTAGTAGAGTAGTCTCTATGAGTGTAGCTGGATTACTGCCCTAAAGAATTTTTCTGGCACTGCCTAAAACTGACAAGTCTGTATTCCTGCCGCTACCTCCATGGAGTGCTGTGAAACGACTGTAGAACACCTTGAGATCTCAGGTGGAAGCTGTGTGAGCAAAGCTGAAGAGCCTGAGATGGAGCCAATCCCACGGGTCCCTGAGGCAGAGCCTGGGCCTTGGCTCGCACCACGGCCTGGCGCAGGGCCAGGGGCTCAGCACCCTCACTGACAGCAGCGACACCCCAGCTCCCATTGGGAATTCACACATCCCTGCCAGGGAGGTGGGCGCTAACCCCAGTGCCTGGTGGCTCTGAAGAAGCCACGTGTCCCAGCTGGTCCCTTGATCAGCTGCTCCTCAATCCCAGTGCAGGAAAGACCAACAGCAACCCAGAGCAAAGGCAAAACCCCGTTCTGAGGCACGACAAGCCCCTGCTCACCTGTTCTCGGGGTCTGACAGCGTCATGTTGCGCGTCACATAGCACATCTTGAGCGGGATGGTTTTTCTGTCTCTGTGGATGGAGAGTGAAAGCTGTGACAGCGGGTCAGAAGATGCACAGCCCAAGCGAGGAGACTCTGGGGGAGGCGTCTCCCATCCGATTTCTGAAACAGGGGAGCCTTTCTTCACATAGGGTGTTGCTTCCCTCATATATTTCACTATGAAAAAAAAAAAAAAAGAAAAGCAATAAATAAGCAGATATTCAACAGTTACACGCAGTGTGAGTTCTTTGAATGCGTACCAAGTGTTAGCATGCTTTATTATTTTATTTGTCCAGCACCACAGCATTGGAGGCTGCACAAACATATAAGACCTAAATCTAGATATCAGCCTATCTCAACATGGTGCAATGAGCAAAGCAGGAGAAAAGAGCAGAACAGGAGAAATAAGAACGTATAAGCTACACAAGGGTAAGGCCAGGAGAGGCATTTGACCTCTTCTCAAAAGGCTGTAAAAAGCTATCCAGGAACATATGTACAACTTGAGAGATGGAGGAGGTATAGGAAGCCTTTTAGGGGGACATTCAATCAAGTGATAGTAACAGTAAAACTACTGTCCCCTTAAAATGTTCCAATGACCACCCTGGTGCTGTGAAACCAGGTCTCTCTGTGTCTGCACTTGCCAGGGTGCTGCCACTCATCTCTAGGCGTATTTCAGCTTGCTGGAGGCAGCTCTTCTACCGGATCTGCTTGTCCATAGAGATGTGCAGCAAACAAAGATTGAGTCATATATTGACCCTCTCTTGGGTAAATAAAACTGAGTTCGAGTCACTCATGAGCCTAGAAACCCTCAGAATACATTCCCTCAGTCCATTTGACGTGGCACTTGATCAACGCTCGGCTTTAGCTTGCATGCTGCAGCCCAGCCTTTCGCTATGGTGCACCAGGCACTGATGGATTTTCCCCTGCTGGGCCAACTTTACCAGTCACAGATTCATCCTCCTCCAAGAAGCCAACTCAGACCCATCAAGAACAGGTCTCCCATTTCAGCGTGCTAGTTAAACACATATATCTAATTTACAGATGCGGTCTCTGCAGTTTGACAGGGCAGGCCTCGCTGGCTGGCTAATGCTTGGCATGACTTGAGAAGCTGCAACATGAACCAAAAGGGCAGTAGTGCCGTGAAGCTATTTGGGGAAGCTGTTCAAACGCTGAGAGACAATTTCAAGCAAATAGTGCAGATCATTGTGTCTGTCGTGCTGAAGAGTCTGGGAATAAACTAATAACAAGAAGATAAAATTCACTCTGCTCTAATGAAACGGGAGAGTGGTGAAGGAACGGATAAAATTCACTCTGCTGTAATGAAACGGGAGAGTGGTGAAGGAACTAAAATTAGAGAAAGTAGACTGATTTTTTTTTTGAAAAGAAACAGAAAAAGCAATGGAAGCATTTGAGGGAATAAAGAACAAGAACAGTGTTTTTGTCAAAAAATAAGGTTGGTGATTTCAGCATTATTTTCAATGTACTTATCAGCCTTACTAAGAGAGATATCTGTGCATAACGAAAGATCCCAGGCTTTATGGGCATCTATTGCCATATTTTTTTTTCTAAAACATCCTGCTTTTGCTCTTCCCACTCTCCCTGACCCCCTTTTTAAAATCTGCTCCCTTCAGGTATAAAGTTATAAAGACTTCTGTGTTTACCTACTTTCTAGAATATCCTTCTCTGAAAATGAGGAGGGTTTGTATCAGAAATCCTGTCCTACTCATTTGTTCTGCTTTGACTTCTTGGTCCCATATTATTCTAGGTAATTAAAACTCATTTATTTTTACTGCTCAGAAAACTGCTGTCATGAGATTCGAATAAGATTCTGGAGACTAGGAAGACAAAAGGTTTTAATTTTATGCTTTTTTTTTTTTTGGCAGATATCTACCTGGGTCCCATTATCCTAACCCTTTGGCACCTAAGTCTTGAATCCAGTGCTCATATCTGGACACTGTATAAATGAACTGATTTTCAGAGGGAATTAATTTGTGGACTTTTGAATGAACAATGTCTCTGTCAATGTCATGTGGACTTGTTTTGTAACAGCAGGCATCTCAGTTTGGTTGTACTTTCTCAGCATTTGGGAAACACAGACATTGAACAGATACAGATGTGGTGAAATGCTTCTTACTTCCACTGCTCTAATATGCTTTTGTCATTAGTTGAAATGGGATGACAGCCAAAGCTGCAGAAATCTGGCCTGATAACAATCAGATTTTTTTTTTTAAATCAGGGATTATCAATTAGCCAGTTGAAAAAATAATCCGACAGGCTTTGGAACTCTGTTTCAGAGATGATGCTTAAGCAAGGTCCAATCCTGTAGCCACTTTATATGGGCAGTTCTCATCCTTCTTCAGCTGCAGCTATATGCACTCAACCTGAGCAACTCTAAATTAAGAAAAAGAGAGAAGGGAGAAGGGAGGAAGGAAGCTGAAGTAAAAAAGTCTGGCTCTAAATCTAAGCATGAAGTGGGAACACATCATGTTAATTTAATTCCCAAGGCATGGAGATAGAAAGAAGCTTCCTTTCCATGCGCCAAGAAGCAAAGTTTCCAGGCAGAGCACTGGCAAATTCATGACAGGCAGCTGCACTATTTCAGTGAAAGGAGGACACACTATCAGGAGAGGAGAGCAGAAACATTACCCTCTGTCCACAATTCAAATTCGCAACTCAGCAAAGGCTAAGAAAACTACCTTGAGGAAAAAAGTCCTATGAAAACACTTGCCAACACCTGATCTCCCAGACATCTATTTTCCACTAAGTTCTCATGGGGAATGAAGACTCAGACCCAGAGACTTATAAAAGCCCACTAATGTATGGGTAAAACACACAGCTGAAAGCCATCCTCACTACAGAATTCTGTAGGAGTTCTGCAGGACTGTTAAAAAGTAAACTGAGTTTGTTTTCTGTGTGAGAGAAATTGAATTTCAGTCGATGTCTACTAAATACTCCCTATTTTCCACTAAACACTGGCATAGCTGTCTAGATTCGGTACTGATTCTGTTCAGTTTTACGAAACAGATTTGAAGGCTCTGGCGCAGTCAAATGTGTTTCATTTTTTAATGAAGCTCCAAATGAACGCATGTAAATGTACGAATGTAGACGGAACAGGTGGCAGAACTTGACCCAACTATATAATTCTCTTTATATTATTCAAATTTCAGACCAATATTTTCCATTTGGCCCAGTCAATGGTTGCAGTTGTATGACCATAATTAAAGCCTGGTTTGTGCATCTAGCTGAAGACGCACACTGTTCAGATGATCCACAAGATTTATCAGCAGTGATTTCCTTTACCTCTAGATGCTGGATACAAACACTGCCGAACACTCTGCTTTATACCAAAGCAGCAGGAACTTTACTACATGCAGCAATTTGACTTTCTGTAACCTGTCCACATCCAGTTCTTAATCCTTCTAATTGAGAACTAATTTAAAAAAAAGACACGATAGATTATATGCATATTTCTATTACAGCACTATCCAAGAATCTCAAATGCAGCAATGTTAACTGAAGTTACACGATTCAATTCCATCATCAAGTTATAATACCAGAAAAAAATATAACACGCTATTGGACATTAAAGTAACAATGTTGATAATATTCTGTTTTCAGATCATTTCTCTCAGTATGTAGAGTTACCTCTTGAATACAGTAATACAAATCCAGGCAGTGACTGAAAAAGAAAGCAGCTATAGGGAGCACTGTTCTTATATATTTTTAATTGCTAGTGAATCAACCTAATGGATTAAAATCTCAAACTATCTAATAAAAAGAAATAAGGCATGACACTGTATGATAACTCTGAATAATGAAAAAATACTCTTTCCTGTTCTTTAGGCAAGTATACAAATGCCTACAGAATATACATACTTTTATATAGAGATATATGTATATATATGAGTGTGTACAATACATAGCAAAGAGTTTATAAATACTGTGCATATATATGTATGTGTGTGTGTGCATATATATATATCTATATAGTTTGTGAAGTTATTAAATTCTGAAAGACCACCAGGAAATATTCCAAGAACACAGAATTCAGCTGGCACAGACTGAAAAAAAATTCAAAATGGTTTCATTATTTTACTCAATTTACAGACAGACTGAAATTTTAGTCGAGGGTTGCCGAAAGTCATCCATTCGATGCTATAGCTCAGCTCCAGAGATCTTTATATTCAGGGCTAATTAATGATCCATGCCCTTCTGGCACACCACAAATTAGAAACTGTGGACAAGCAATTAAAATTCCAATCTCTGGAGCTCCCATCCCCACAGAGGCCAGAAGAGCGGAAGCGGCCGTCAAATGAATTAATCCACTGATACGCATTGCAATACTTCACATTTATTTTTTGATCTGCAAGACAGGCAGCGGAGCTTCCAAAAAAGCACTTCATTTATACGGGGTTCTGCCAAGTCCCAGCTCCCCACAATGGATCCTTTGTTACTGCTCACAGATGACTTTGTTTTTTCTTTTCTTTTTTTAAAAAAGAGAAAAAGAGGGGAAGAAAAAAGAAGCAGGTTTTTAATGAGAGCAATACTCTAGACCAACTTGATGCAGTTTTTGGCCAGACATGTCTATGAAAAATCTGGGATTCTCCTGACAAATTCAAAACTGTTTCCTAGGAGGGGAAAGAAGGGCTGCTGAAGCCAAGCCAGTGCTCTAAAGCAAAGCTCTTTCATTGCTATAGGAATGAGGACAGAAAGTGTAGGTTGACAATATGAAAGTGAAAGGAACAACATGCACCAAGGACTTGGCCTCTGCAGGGGAAAGGCAGAGACCAGACACATCTGCTCTCTCCTAAGCAAGCAGAGAGGGCTCCCAATGGCAACTACAAGAGAAGCATCACCTGGAAGCCCGTTAGGACCATATTCCAAGGATGTGTTAACATTAATGATACCTGCCTCCAAAGAAGCAGAGGAGAGGGACAAATCATGTCCTCCCCCATACTTAATACTTATTCACCCTGGAAGGGATCAGCCTTTGGAGCCACTCAAGCCCATGGAACTGAATGTGAGCAGCTCACGCATCTTCAAGAGCTTGTTCAGGGCACTGAGTCTCCTGTGCTGAAGCCAGTGCACTCAGAAGTCTGCAAGTTTATTGCAGGCAGCAAGGCATATTTTCTTAAAAATGTTTCCATACTGGTGCTGCTCTTGATGGGTTGGAATAT